TGGAATTTTTTTACTGGCAATATTTTAAAGATGTGGGGGGGAAGGGAAAAAGTAGATTTAAATGCTTTGGTTCATATAAGCAATTTTTTAATATGTCAGTAGCCATGATAAATATAAAAAATAGTTGCAAAATATAGTATTCAGTTCATTGCTGTTACATTTTGTATTCATCTGTAGGTAGTGATAAAAGAAATGAGAAAAAATTATGTAAACTTGAAGATCTAAAAATATTTAATCTTATAGACTTTTGGAAATTGATTTCACTATTGCTAAAAATAAAAATAGAGAATTTGAATTTTTTTTTACTGGCAATAGTTAATAGATGTAGGGGGAAGGGAAAAAGTAGATTTAAATGCTTTGGTTTGGCTCATAAAAGCAATTTTTTTTAATATGTCAGTACCCATGATAAATATAAAAATAGGTTCAAAATATACCATTCAGTTAATTGCTGTTACATTTTTCTAATTGGATGCTAAAATCTTTCTGATCTTATCTTACAACTATCATCTAACTTTGAGGTTCCCAAATATTTTTAGTTCAACTCTTGGTGTATCAGAACTTATAACAATGTATAGTTGATGAGATTAAAAAATAAATGAAAGACTTATTTCAAATTCAGAAATAATTTACATAAAGTCTGCTAAAATACATATTATGAAATATATCTTTGAATGAATAAATTATGATTAGTGATAAATTGAGCCTTTTCCCCAATTTATCTTGGAATTATAATGCATACGGCTGTACCCCCTTTTTTTAAATGTTATTTGTTCTTTATCAAGTCACTACTAAAAGCCTAGCTTTGCATGTACATGATCTCGCATACATGAATTACTGATCTTGAAATTCTATCCAGAAGTTAGTTATTTCCCTGTTGTCAAGTTTTGTCATCACTATATTATTGTAAAGACAGCTCTATAAAATTTCCTTCTACACTAAAAAGTTCAGATGAATGTTCTGGCCTTAAATCCATGTGCATTGTTAACATTATATCTTTGAAAATTATTTTTAAACCAATTGGTAAGCTATGTTTTTTTTTTTTTTTTTTTTTTTTTTTAAATTGCATATTGCATCTGTTAAATATTCTTCCTATATATCGCTATCCTATATCCCAGCACCAATATATTGCTGTTCTGATTTTAAAACCACATGGACTAACTGTCATTTTCATGAAAGTATTACTATATTTTATACCTAAATGTGCTGTTTAAGGGGTTGCTACACACAATCTAGGCACCACTAATCTAACTGGATATATTTTTCCAGTATTTGGTGAATAATTTTCCACCTTTAATTAAAATAAAAGCATTTGAGTAAAAGCGTAAAATGTTTATTGCATTTCTAAGGTTCATTGCATTTACAAGGCCAAGAACTCAAGAACATAATGTAAATACTCATTGACTGGAATCAAAGAAATGATTATTTTGACCAACATTCTTGTTGGCTCGAATTTTTTTACTCTTATAAATTTAAATAATCTAATATATCTGTAGGTATAGTGATTTCTTTTCCTAACCATTCTTACTTACTTACTTAAACCAGCAAGTATTGGCTACTATCTATATATGTTTCTTTCTTAACCCCTAAACACACTCTTTTATTTTTCAGTTTTCATGCAAAAATTATTCATTCTTTTACTATGTACTTTTAATTAGTTCAACAAGACATGAATGATTCTATAGATATTTTTTTCAAACTTTTGAATTTTTTAATATTTTTGTCACAAAGTAAATGGTAAATAACTATCCCAATTTAACTCATTAGTGTGTTTTTGTTAAGAATGAACACAAAAAATCATTTTGAATTTTAATAATCAAAAACTGAATGTTTATCTGTATAGAGGAAATGTGAAAGAAATGATTAAAAAGAAGTGTTAAAATTACACAAAATTTTTGTTCAAATTAGAAACAGGTGATAGACCTTGAAACATGACACTATACATAAAAACACATTGCAGTCTGTACAAAAATAGTGTGTTTCTACTAGATTTTTACGCAAAGTTCTAAAAGAATGACTTTACGAGCTCTGATTCACGTATTTTCTGCCAAATTGCAAGTACTAACCTAACATGTTTGACAGATATAAAAATAGCTTCACATGGAGTTGGATAAGTGTCCAAGTGCTGAGTCAAAGTATAACAACATATAATCTTCTCATAAGAAAACATCGTGAAGGTTACCAGGATAGCCACGAAACACATTGTGAGTTTATTTGGAATAAATTTTTAAAAAAAGGTCCGTGAACCATAAATCTCAACAACTGAGTTAACTTAAATAACTAGGCAAGCAATTAATCTCTGAATTTTCTTAATGTATGATAAATCTGCATCTTTTGTACAGGGTTATATTGAAACTAGGTGTGAAGGGGTGAGGGAAATAAGAATGAATTATTTAGGCTAAAATCTTACAAATAATTTACAATACCTGTGAATCCCTTCATACAATAAAAATGTAAACCCCATAAGTGAAGTAACTACATATAAGTGCATAATAGAAAAATTACAAAATTAACTTTAATGTCTTGAATGTTAAAAATGGTGATGTAAAAATAAAATGTAAATGAAACATTTTTATTTGAAGTGCTGTTTATTGAAATTATAACTTTTTTTAAAATACAAAAATGCATTCCCCCTTACCCCTCCAATGTGATGGGTGAACCTGATGGGATGATATGAGAATATTCATGTTCATTTGGCTCTATAGTATTTTTGAGTAACATTCATATATCTCCATTTTATGATAAGGCTGATAACATTCATAACATTACATAACTTTCATAAGTCTCCATTTTATGATAAGGCTGATAACTGCACTAAATCCACATTCTGTTAAATAGGAAGTTACAGCAAAGTAATCAACAGCTTCTCTACAATGACAGATAACGCAGGATATAAATTTGGTATCTGTTTTTATAACCAGAATTTTTGGTATCCTTGTTCAAACTTTGATTTCAACTCCACATTTGTGAATAATTCAATAAATTTATCCCGTATCAGATGGATTCATCTAAGTTTGTGGCTCTGCTCTCAAAAGGTCCCAACTCAAAAGGTCCCAACATCCAGTCAGGAATAACCAAGTGAGGAATGTTTTAAATCTTTGGTTGAAGAGCCGGTTAAGTGTTGGCAATAAGCAAGCAAATTGTCATTTTGTTTTTCTAATTTAAGGATTTGGAAACTGAGAGCATTCTCCTCTCTCTCTAAGTTTTACTTGTATGTGAAAGGTTTTGCAATAAACACAGATAATATTATTCAGTTATGATAAAGTTTAATTAATCACCTTAAAGCAACAAGTTGGTTTGCTAAATTTGGTAAAATAGTCAGTCATATAAGCTATGTCATTTTTGAATTAATTAAATTCAGCAAATTATAATAATTTGCTGCTCAGTTTCAGGAATTGCAACATTGAATATCTGTTAAATGTGCATAAAATCAATCCAAACATACACTTTTAAAGTACTTCCAAGTTGAGTAGTAAACTAATCACCTAATTTTCAGCATTTTCCAAACAAAACTGAATAAATAAGCTCCTATTTAAAGCATTCCTTTTGATTTTATGAACTGCTCTAATGATATAATCTAGTGAGCCATAAAAGCATTCACAAAGATTTTTGGTAACTAAAGGTTGTTGATGAATGTACATGTAATAAATTTGGTATAGCTTGTTTTAAGTGTGCCAGAAAGACTTGCTATTTTCCTATCATTGCTGGTATACTGTCAGAAGCAATGGAGAGGATATTACTCTAGTGTATAGCTTTTACATCAAAAAATCTTTTTAATTATTTTTATTATTGTTACAACTTTCGGACATATCATAAATAACAATTCTTGAGAAATTTTTTCTTCTTTTATAAATCTCATGTAAGCTAAAAGTAAAAACTCGATTCCTCCAAAGTTGACTCGTAAAGCTGTATAGAGAATTCAGATGTTTTTAAATATGCACATAAAGAATATCTATGCACTGAGCCATTATGTCACTTCTTCTTTGTACTTTATTATTACTCAGTGAAATTCTTTGAATATCAAAATTATAAATATGCAAAATTATGTGTATATTAAAATTATGCAGCATGATGCATATTACTTCATTTACTGTTGGTAGAATAATAGTCCATCGTCTTCTGTCACAGTCGTAACATGCAGTCTTAGTTGTCATCACAATGATGGTGTTTTCAAATATTTTTTCTTTGGCTATTTTAAAAAAGTTTTTATTTTTTCTGTTGTTGTAGACTTTAGTCAAATGTTTCTTAGTTTTTTTTTTTTTTTTATTTGTTTGATAAATTTTACTGCACTGAAGGCATGCAGGTAAAGTACTATGTTGACAGAATAAAATCATATATTAAATATTCAACATTATATTGTCTGAATTTTTTTGGACTGTTTTCTGTAAAAAAGGACATGATTTGTTTTATTTTACTTGTGACATACAAATTACAACCAGTTTATTTATTGATATTTATTTTAATTTTCATAATAATAAAATCACAATTATTTTATATTAAACTATTTGAGACCTCCTGACATTGTCCCCTGAACTAATTTTAATTTGCCATAGACTCCCTCAGTGGTCGTAAGGACCCCTGGTGTTCCATAGGATCCATTGTTCTCAATTATTAATTAATTATTCTAGACGATAAAAAATAGGGTTTTTAAAATAGAAAATTTCATAGAATTTTCAAAACCTTTTTTAAAATGATTTTTACTGTATTATAATAAATCAGTGTTTTTATCTATTTAACAAGCAGTACTTGCTTCTGATCGCTTGTTGTTTTAATCAAACATCAGCAATTGTATAAATTGCTTGCAAGATAAATGTGTAAATTTTTGACATGGCAAATTTATGTATACAAATGTTTATCTGTTAAGGTTCATATTAAAATGATGTGTATTAAGCATACAATGTTCCAATTTTATCTTAACCATTTAATTCAATAGACCTTGCATTGCAAGAGTGTGTAAAGTATTATGCTGCTGGAATTAATATATGTCTTTTTTGCATTGCTAGATGTTTCTTGTGAATTGCGAAGTTCTCCTGTACCACCTTCAAAATCTCCCACTCCATGTGCTAAACCAACGAATGTTAAACACAAGAAACAAAATTACCAAAAACACGATAGTCTTATTGACTATAATGGTGATTGTACAGCTCTGTTGAATTCATCTTCACAAAATGTAGCAGATACCAGTGATTCTGCAGTATTTACTGTATTAAGCACTTGTAATTCAGAAGCAACAGAGGAACCTTGTGTTATTTCTTTGACTGATTCTGAGCTAGGCATTGTAACAAATGTTGTAGCAAATGAAGTTGTTGTTGAGTCAGGGAAAAAGAACAGGAGACGAAATAGGCAAAAACCCAACGTGACTGAAGCACAGAAGCGAAGAATGCCAGTTATAAATACCTATAAAACAGTTCTTCCATCATCCAGAATTTACACCCCTGCTGAGGAATACCCTGTATATGAAGAAAAACATCCGAAATTTTCTCCTGAAAAGAATTTAAGATGCTATTCTCGTAGTAAATTCCTTCCTAATACACAAGATCTCCCAATTCCATTCTCTCAGATATCTGACTTAAATGAAAATGAATGTACTGTGCCATGTAATTCCCAAGATCAGGCATTGCTTGTGAATTTAAATACCTGTGACTCTGTTACTGCATCTTCCAGCACAGATGAGAGTAATCCAGGAACTGGAACTGCTATGATTATTGTACCTAGTGACCAGAATATATATACCTCTAACTCTGTTGCTGCATCTTCAAATGCAGATGATAGTAATCCAGGAACTGGAACTGCTATGATCATTGTACCTGATGACCAGAATATGTATACTTCTAACTCTGTTACTGCATCTTCTAATACAGATGATAGTAATCTAGGAACTGGAGCTGCAATGATCATTGTACCGAATGACCAGAATATGTATCATGTATATATGTATAACAAGCCTACTGCACCTAGTATTACATTATCACCGGAATCTTTACCACATAACAGGTGTTAAATTCGCACCTAAAGCAATATTAAAATGTTTATATAGGATTTTCAAAAAAGGCAGCAAGTGAATTTTATTTCTAAGTATTCATTCTAAACACGGGATTCAAATAAATATAGTTTCTGAAAGCCAAGTTTGCAAGTGCAAAATTTTATGAAGACATTCTCAGTCTCATTATCAGATCTCTGTAAAAGTAAAATCTGTGTAGTTATCCATATGGAAAAAAAAAAAAAAAAAGATTAAAGTAAAATATTGATTATATTCTAACTATGAAAATGAAAAGTTTAATTTTGTGCATAAGTTTCTGAGATATAAAAGAGCTAGTACGGATTTAGTGATAAAACTGCCATATCATACTAATTATCAGGATAAGCAGCTTTAATTTTTATAGATACACTGGTGTGCAAAACTTAAGCAACAGCAGGGTATTTTGCCATAACTCCACGAGAAATCAACTGATCGACATGAAATGCAAAAATGAAGAAGAGTATTATGTACGTAAAGGATGACGAAAGCATCGGAGCTGAAAAAGGAATGCAATGCATACGGTATGATATCAAACAAAAACAAGCTTTATTGAACGCATACTATCGTGACTCTTGATTGTCTATCCAAGAGGAAGAGCAACAAGCAGATGTTCCTTAATATGGAATATGCCCTCCCCTCACTGCAATGGTTGCTATGCACCGTCTCCGCATATTCAGAACAAGCTGGTGCAACATTTCTTACAGTAGGAGTGCTCATTCCTCAATCAACATCTGTTTGAGTTATTGGGTGTTCTCCGGAGGATGTAAGCGTGCTGCAATGCATCTCCCCAAAGCATCCCACACATGTTCGATAAGATTTAAATCTGGGGAGTATGCTGGCCAATCCATTCAAGCGATATCTTCACTTTCCAGTAGCTCCTCAACAGCAAGAGTCCGATGTGGCTGTGCATTGTCATCCATAAAAATTAAGTCTGGGCCAATGGCACCTCAGAACAGACACACATGGGGAAGGAGTACCTCCTCACAATAGAAATCCCCGTTTACAGACCCTCTGTCGAAAATGTGGAGCTCAGTTCGCCCGTTCAGCATAATGCCTCCCCAGACAAGAATTCCAGGACCACCGTTACGGTGTCTTTCCTTGATGTTACTGGGTTAAAACCAGGTCCCGACTTCTCTCCAAATCAAAACACGTTGAGAATCACTTCTGGTACTGAACCAACTCTCATCCGTAAAGAGGACACGACTCCATTGATCAGTTGTCCAGTTTTTGTGCTCTCTGCAGCACTGTAAATGGTGGCATCGGTCGCCGACTTTCAATGGGAGGCAGCGTTCAGGATGGCGGGCAGATAGGCCCCCTTTGTGAATGCGTCTGGCCACAGTAAACCGTGACACTTGTTGCCCCATTGCTGTACAGAGTTGCTGAGCATTGGCGCTTGCTGACTGCTGTCAGCCTCTTTTCACCTGCAAGACAATATATCGGTTATCCCCTGCAGTTGTCGTCCTCGGGTGGCCACCACCAACCTTTCTAACAGCTGTACCTGTGGTTTGGAACGATTTCCAAGCGCGCAAAACAACACTTTTGTTGATTCCGAACTCTGCAGCTACACTGGTGACCATACGCCCCTCCTCCAGCTTTCCAATCGTTCTTCCATGTGTGAAGTTGTCCAGGTGATTTCTTCTAGCCATATTTCACAAACTGATTCACTGGCACTTGCAGCGAATATGTTGAATTGCATCTACGTCCTTCCCTTTATTCTACTGTTGAGCTGCGCGTGCCGACATCACGCGTTTTGTGTACGCTCACGTCGCCTCTGACGTTTCGTTCCTGATATTTGCATACGCATGATGTTTCTACTGACTTACGTGTCATTGTACTGATCTCCAGACCTTCTTTTCTGCAATTTCATGGCTATCTGCTAAATTTTTACATTGTTGCTTAAGTTCTGCACACCAGTTTACTTTACAATTTAAATAATTAAATGACATAGAAAAACTATTTCACATCAGTCTACTCTCAAATATGTCTAAATTTTGCATTTAAAGGTATGAAACTTAATTAAGTATAATAAATACTTTATTAATTAAGATTCTTACTTTACATTAAAAAAAAATAAAACTCAGTAAATGAAATTTAATATTTTTTAAAGCTGAATGAATGTTATTTTCTAACCTTGTCAAAAAAATTTATTTATATAAAACTGGTTGCTGTGAAGAACTCTCTGAACTTACTTACATTTAAAATGCACATGGCGCCAGTTCATTTACTGAAATTCAGAGTGAGACAAATTACCAGTATTCATTGGTCTTATTTCCTTAGTGTATCGCAGTATACCCTTCCTATATCTGCCTGGATTCAAAGCCAAACTACTAGTGGTTCAGTAGTTCTTACTTCCTAATATATTCACTGGATTTTGAAACTGGACCAGTACACTTATTTGCTCTCGCATTAAAGAGAGAAAGATGGCCTTCATGCAAAGAGACTTTCTATGAAAAAATAGCTCATATACACATTAAAAAAAGAAAAGTAATGAATGCCCATGAAGCCATGCCAGATATGGAGTACTTGATCAAACTGTGACTGTTCTATGATCTTATACAGGCGACCACTAGTGGACAGCACCCATAATATTGAGACTGCTTTCATAAAATTCTGCATCCTGTTAACTAGAAGTATATGTCTAGGATCAATATTTAAAGAAATAAAATCTTCAAACACTTTATACATCTGTATATATATATATATCACTTTATTTCATATTATTATTCAGTTGTGCCTTCAATTGTTTTTCTAAATTGTGGTAGTTAGCAGTTTTATAAAAATCTATTTGGGCATAACTGCAACATGAATTAATCCTAGTCGCATATTTATTTAAATAATGAAATTATCTTTTTCATATAACCTGTTGCTAAACTGGAACTGTTGGGACCAAAGTTACGATATATTAAAAAAATTAAATTACGTTTTATGCAATTTTTGCTAATATTTTATATTTCTTAATTTGCTGCTTGTTATGTTTACCATATTATCCAAAAAAATGTACAAAGCAATTTTTTAGTAAGCTGTATTTTTATGTTATATTAAGCAATTTCATTTTATGAACTTAGTTTATTTTTTATTTGTAAGGTTAAAATTTATTAACTGCAAACTCTTGATTGTAAGGTATACTACACCTATCGCAAAATTTTATGGTAGCTGTAAAATTTTATGGTAGTCTTACTATTATCTAAAAATAAAAAAATGGCATAACATTTCTTCAGTATTCATTTTGTACTAGTCTTATTCCAAGTAAGTTATATTAAGAAACATTTCTTAATTGTTAATTAATTGTAATATTTCTTATTTGCTTAAAATTGTGTATGTATAGTCAAACCCATTCAATCATACTTTCAAAGCTCTAAATAGATAATTTATTCAATTTTGAGATTTAAATTTATTGCATACAGTGTCAGATCTCTAATAGCAGTATTATGATTTTAAATGAGTCTGATAAAAATCAAACATCATGCTGAAGTTATAACCATAGACCTGTTATGTACTAGACGAAGCATCGCCATTCAAAACCGGGTGAAAAAGCGGCACAGGAATGAGCTGCAGGAGTTTGGACATGAAATGGAACTGAACCCAGACTTTGGCGTACTATCGCCACGATTGGCAATTTTTTCCCCTTCTTTTCTCTCAGTTCGAAATGCGAACTTAGAAAGATGTCATTTCGCAGAAGCTGCCGTTGAATTTGCAGAAGAGGTTAAATTGATAAACACCAGCCAAAATTAATAATTTCCCTAAAATTGGACACTTTATTTTAAAATTTAACAGGATAATTTTCATGCTGTAGAATAACATTTTGTAATATAATATCTATCGGCATCTACAAAGTTAAAAGTAAAATTTAAAAAATCTGATGTGTACACCACATGACTTCCTTGTACGGAATATTAAATTATACGCATTTTTTCTTGCATTTCATTTAAACTTATTGGATTGAATTAAATCTACTTTGCTGACAGCGCATAAACCACAATAGAGTAAATGCATTCTTTAAAATTCACTCTAGTATTTGTTTACCACAGCGACACTCTGGCACTAGATTCACTTAACAGTATTATATTCCGTTCATATTATAACTCATAATGCACAAAATTTATATCATTTAAAGAATAGAATTATCTAATCGTTGCCACATGTTCAATTCAAATACTATAATAAAGCTAGAATGATGTATAAAAGAAATTAAGCAAACAAAACAAAAAAGAAACAGTTTTTCACAGACGATTGAGTGTTGCTCATTCAATTAATTCAGTTCTCACTTTGTGACAAGGCAAAAATACATAGAAACTCAAAATATCTGTATTAAAAATTACGAAGTAAATCTGAAACACTTATTTCCTCGAAAAAATTCCAGAAAGGATTAAGCATGATTTAATTCGCAATAATAAATGAAGGCATTATCTTTGTTGTTGCGAAGCTAAGTTTCTCTAGATTGGCAACAAATCCACTAGTCTGCTGTTTCAAATGTAAACAATCAATGGCCGCCATAAAAAAAAAAGGCTTAGCGGCACTTAAACAACTTTAAAATTGTTGATAATTCTAAAAATATTGCACACAGATTTACTAAAGGCATAAAAACCTTAACCAGAAGACAAGAACAACATAATTCAATCATTTTTAAAGCAAAAAATGTACAATTTACAAACATATAAGAGTAAAGAAACCAAGATCACCGAGCCGGGTAACAGAGTGGATATATATATGGATATATTTACATACGTTTGGCGCTGCCGATTGCAACCAAAATACGAGGTGCTCATCTATATGTTATAGCAGTCCTATATACAAAATTTCAACGTTCTGAGGCTACTCGTTTTTGAGTTATGCGAGGTACGTACATACGCCACGAAAAATTCTCTTCAGAATTAATTTTAAAGCAGTTTTATAATTTTTTTGGAGGAAATGAGTCTTTTGTTCTGTCCTTACATACAGATATCACGCAAAAACATCGTTAAATTGCATTCGATAGCGATTAAAATGGATATTTTCGTTGAAATATGCTGCCTTGTAATCGCGTTCGTACAAGGAAGTAAAAAACTGGAGAGAACAAATGAAATTAATAATAATCTGTAATAATATGAAATTAAAAATACAAAAATTTCAGTGATAGATTCAAATGCAGAACGATTCTTGTCGAATTTATTATCATAAAATATAAATTTTATACAAGAAAAACTTTTCATTGTAATTAACTATAAGGAATTTTATTTCAATTACAATGCATATATTATACTGAATATAACTAAAAAAACTTCCATTTTCCAAATAAATATCTGATCATAATTACATATAACTTTCTTTATAATACAGTAAATGCATAAAAATAATTAATTAATAATAATAAATAATTAATACATTACATAGACACTAAAACTATTTAAGTTTTGAAATTTAACTGCTATATAATGACTATTTTCTTAATACTTAACAAATTCCTAATATTAAAATAAATGCCAGAAACATATAAGAAAGAAACCACGTGATTGAAAGTAAACATATTTGTTATATTTGAATGCAAGAAAAAGGGATAAAATAAGGTCATTCATGTCAAAAAAAAGTTTTTTTTTTCTGCAGTTCTTACACAGTGTATTACATCGACATTACCAAGAATTAAATACATACATTACTACTTCGTTCACGTCCGCATTAGCAAACGCATACAAAGAATATATAAACAAATGCATTTAAAGCAAAGTCTGTTGGCATATAAAAAATTTCACCAAAGCAGAATAGTAGACTAATTAAAATTATATTACTAAAATTTTAATTTTTTTCTAAACACAGTTATTAAGAACATACGTATATATTTAGATACTTTTATTTAAATGTTATTTCAAGTATGCATATATTATATAAAATTCGAAAATCCTTTTTATTAGAAAACGGCAAGTAGAGTGGATAAAAAAACTATGTTTTATAAAAAAAGGTTTTAAAACATTAGAAAAAGCTCATCTGTGAAATGTTACTTCTCCACCTTTCACGTATCTGGAATTACATCCATATGCGGAGCACGGAAGTACCATTTTTGAAGTCTGAAACAATGTGCGTACTCGCAAAACACTTGCTTCTCACAAATTCTACATAGAAATGTAATTGTAAGGAAGATCCGCGGGAAATACGATCTGGGAATGTCAGGTGGATCGCATTCCTGTTCCCTCTCAGGGTTGCCATTTTTTTTCTCTAGTACATTACAGCTCTATGGTTATAACTATGCCACTGTTACCTCAGTATCTGTGAAGGTGGTAAATGACAGTATTCTCAGGTCTATGACATAGAATGGCTTACTGTAAAGGGAAAAGTACGTTTTGTTCCATTCTTTGGATCTGTTCCTGATATGAATGCTGATTAATCTTTGAACTGCCCCACGCGACATAAAAAACTAAGCAATCTGTGTCCTATTTGGATACTCTCATATGAGAGTAAAATGAAGTGGACATTTTTTAGTTATTTATGACATAATCCTGTTTCCTGTTTAGTTAGTTAACTGAACAGAATACCTTTACTACATTCATAACTATTTTTAACCAAAAGTATTCACTTTCTAGATTTCTTGTATCCGTAAATTGAAATTTTTCTTTTGAATTCCTAAAACAAAATTACAAATAAAAGTCAGTTTCTTTAAAATAAAAGAGTATGTTCTTTTTATATATATATATATATATATATATATATATATAATTAATCGTCATGAAAAATGGGTTCTCATTTGTTCTATATTCTATCTAGAAAGTTTCTTGTAAATGATTTATGTGAACCGTGTAAAAAACTACCAGCAAATAATAAGTTTACAGGAAGAAAGGATTTTACATTCATTAAAATATTTCTTTGATATCAAATGCAATTAATGGCTAACAATATAAATGAAATTATATTACATTGAACAAGAAGTGTATTTTTAAAATACCAGATGTATTATATTGTTTCCATCAGTGAACATCAGTGATAATGCTGTAGAATACTAATAGTTTTCTTAGATCCAATTCCTGAAATTAATCAACTAGCTTGCATAAGAATTTTGTAGCCCTCCTAATACATAAAGCAAAACCATATACCATTTTCCTGTAGTTTAGGTAAGGGCATTTAGCTTGAATTTCTTTGCTTAATTCGGTGTTTTTCAAACTGTGGTCTTTGTAAGATCCCCCTGCCAAAAATAAATTCAGATTAACTGCATATATCACACTATAGATGAAAATTTGACATTATTATGAAATTTATTATCAGTTACTCTACCTACAGGCTTCCCACTCTAATCTTAACAACAAAAGAGGGAGTTAAAGCACTGACTGTTGTGCTTCTTATCTGCATACGTATAAACACAGAACAGCTATGCAAGAATCAAAGGGCTCATCCATCTCATTATAATGTCAGTGCCAACATTTATTCAATTCTTAGCTGGTAAGATTGATTATCCAAACCTTACCTTGAATTATTAAAAACAAATATGAATTTTCTTTTGTTAACTTGAACATGTAATTACCAATATAAAATTAAATGAATTTTACATAATTATATTTTTTAAATATAAGTATACTGGTAGTAACAAATGCTAAAAAAAATTGCTTTCAAAGAGACAAAAGTAAAATAGTCTGCAGAACATTCTAAATCATAAATGTGGTCCCTACTTGAGAAACATTTCAGATACACCACATAAACCAATCAACTATTAAATCATGCTAAGCTGGTAGCCTTCATGAGCTTTGCCCTATTCAGTACTTCAACAGTAAATTACACAAGCTGTAAGAAATTGCTTAAGCATACGGCATGGGCATTTCTGACTATAATGTCAGTGGAATAAGAACCCTTAAAATCTATCAGTGCAAAACTAAGTAGTTAATGGTGTGAAAAGAGGGGTGCAAGACCCTCAAAATTCTAAATACTTTGGGTTGTTCTCAAACAGAACTAGGGCAAAATTAGGCAGGCAGCCCTTCTTTGCTTTAATTAAATACTCTAAATCCTAGTTATTGTATAACACAAAAGGATAATTTACTTTGTAGGCCTCGTTCATTCTTTGAAATAATTTAAACAAAATGCATAAACCACATTTGGCATCATTATCATTTATTACCAATATGGCAAATTTTGAAATGTGCCATTATATAAATTTACACATATCATGGGAACTTTTGAATAAAGAATTAGTATTTTGTAGATATGTCTAGAAATACATCTGCTTTAATTGTAAAAATTTTATAGGTTGTAATTCAAAATTTGTTTTGAAAAACTTATAAAAATTAATAAAAAATACAAATTTAAAAAATAAATCATCAAAATATTTGTGAATTTTACTTGGATTGAACCTAAATTTCAAATTGTTAAAGAAGGAATCAAGTTTAATAAAAAAAAAATATTAACAAATATATACCATATTCAGTTAACACTGAGTAGTTTTGAGAGCCAATATTTTACAAGTTATATTCATGCAATTATTACAAAACTTGACACTTTCGCATAATTTTGAGTCGTAGACTCGAAATATGGAAGAAAAAAATTTCAACGGTTGGGTGTTTTATTTAATAGCCATTAGCATTTGAGCATATCGAGGCATACTTCTCCTGTCACAGTGGTTTCAAAAAAAAAAGAATAGACCGTAAATAGTTTCATGGAATATTGGACAAACACATTAACCTTAGGGTTGGTATTGCACTGGCGTATGTAGATGTTCAGTACCTCAAACTCTCAGGTTATGCTTATTTACTAATTCAGAAATGTGAAAAGTTGATTCATCACTGAATACTAACTTTTTTGTAAATTCGCCATCCTCTATGCATGTCAGAAATGTCTCACAGAAAGATGATCAACGTGCCAGGTCTTTGGGTTTAGGTGTTGCACCAACTGCAAACAACGCCGTTTCATTTGCAAACACCTCCTAAGAACTCTCCACAAAGTTTTCTGGGCTACTACCAGTTCTCGTCCAGCTTGATACGTTGATTTTTGAGGGCTTCTCACATAGCTGGCTTCGATACACTCAACCTCTTTTCCTAATGAAGGACGACCTGCTGATTTTCCTTCACAGATACATCCTGCATTGAAATTCTACATTATGATCTGCTGCTATCTGTCCACGTTTTGTTCGGAACTGGCACTGAACAGTGATTATAGATTTGCTAACATGAAACTCAGGAACACAAAAACCTTTTTGCTGTTGTGTCACCATTTTATGAAGGTGTTTTTCTGTCTATTTTGTTTTTGCAGAAATGCTGATGATAATTGGACTTCCAGCACTATCTATTGGTGACTATTCAAAACTTGCTTATATTACCTCTGCATGTATGTAAATTTTTAGTGAATACATTTATTGCATTTTCCATAGTATACCTATGAAATTGGGGCATTCATTTTGACTTATTCTGTGTTTCATGTTTCTATTCTGAAATGGACTTAATGCCTCTATTTATTGATTATAACAAAATCAGATACAAATATTTGCAGATTTGTTTGAATCTTCATATAAAATTTATGAATGTTTACAGTAGAACAAGGCAATTCAAATTCAGATCAAATACAATTTAATTAGAAAATTATGCTAGGGTTGGGGGTATGAAATTTGCACAATTTAAGCTTTATTAATTCAACAATTAAACTTTAAAATGTATGAATTTCACTGCTAAATTTCTTTAGTAGAGGCTAAAAATTACAAAGATTTGGTTATCTACTAGAAGATGCATTGAAAAACTGAGAGAGTTGACAAAGGCTAAAAATTAAAAACTATGAGGTGTTAAAAAAAATCTGAAGTCTCCAAATAAAACCAGGAGAGATAGCAGCTATGAGTTTCAATTTTTCCTGAGTAAAGACTAAAAATTTAAAATGATTCGATGATCTATTGGGAGACCATAAATGTGAAAAAAACTAAGAGCTGGCTGTTATAGTATATACATAATGGAGAAAATGTTGATAAGTGTACTCGCATCACTGAAGTGACAGAAGTCATGGGATATGGGATAGCAATATGCAAATATACAGATGGCAGTGTATCGCATAGAAAATGTATAAATGCGAAGTGCTTTGGCAGGGCTTTCATTTGTGTTCAAGTTATTCATGTGAAGAGGTTTTGACATGATTATGGCCGCACGATGAGAATTAACAGATTCTGAACGCGGAATGGTAGTTGGAGCTAGACGCATGGGTCATTCCATTTCGGACGTCGTTAGGGAATTCAACATTCCGAGATCCACAGTTTCAAGAGTGTGCCGAGAGTATCTAATTTCAGGCATAACATCCCACCATGGACAGCACAGTGGCCGACCACCTGCACTTAACAACCGAGACCAGCGACGTCTGCATAGAGTTGTCAATGCTCACAGACAAGCAACACTGCGTCAAATAACCGCAGAAATCAATGTGGGATGTGTCCGATAAGACAGTGCGGCGAAATTTGTCTTCCTTGGGCTATGCCAGCAGAAGACCGACTCGAGTGCCTTTACTGACAGCACGACATCGCCTGCAGCGACTCTCGTGGGCTCGTGAGCATATTGGTTGGTCCCTAAACCATGGCATGGACTCGGTCCTCTGGTGCAACTGAACTGATCATTGACTGGAAATGGATACCTTCAGCTACTTGGAGATCACTTACAGCTATTCATGGACTTCACGTACTCAAACAACGATGGGATTTTTATGGATGACTATGTGCCATGTCACCGGGCCACAATTGTTCGTGAGTTAGAAGAACATTCTGGACAATTCCAGCGAATGATCTGACCACCTAGATCACCTGACATGAATCCCATCGAACAATTAAGGGACATCATCGAGAGGTCAGTTCGTGCCCAAAATCCTGCACCGTCAACACTTTCACAATTATGGATGTCTATAAAGGCAGTATAGCTCAATATTCCTGCAGGGGACTTCCAACGACTTGTTGAATCCATGCCACGTCGAGTTGCTGCACATTGCCGGGCAAAAGGAGGACCGACAAAATATTAGGAGGTATACCATGACTTTTGTCACTTCAGTGTATATCACATTGGAGGATTTTACAAAAGAGATTTGGAGATATAACTTGCATGGTTTGGAAATATCTCACATATGATGGCAAGAAAGAAATACTTTTTCCAAACACTTGCTCCTTAAGCATTTGTCAGAATGGACAAAGCCACTAATCATTTAGCCATCTCATCATCTAAAGCATTGCAGAATACACCACAGGGGTTCTTTTACCTTACATTTGTCACTCAGTCGGTATAGTAGATAATGATGCTGATTGCCATACTAACAGGCTCAAGTTTAAATCCTGCAGGAGGCATGGATGTGTGTAAGCATATATTGTCTGTGCAGTGAAGATGCATTCAAAATATACAGTGAGTTTAAAGTCCTCTTGAGAAATTAGTGGTAGAGGAAGAGGGGTAGGAGACCCTCAAACTGCTTCCCATGGTGTTCTACCTCAAAACTGGGGAATTACACAGTTAATGCGGCAGAACTATACGATCAATAATTCTGGTAGCCCGCCCATTCTATACTCCATCTTATATTCGCTAGAACTGGAAAAGGACATACCAGACAAGTAACAGGATTATCACATATAACAATGCTATTAGAAACTTTTCTGAAAAAGGAGTTTCTCTCAGCACTATTCGATGGGAGGTTTCAATCTGAAACAGTTGTACTCAATCTTATGTGGTGGGTACACACATAAAACATTTTATGAAGCCAACAAAAATGTTTCACCTGCAGCTGTGTCTCACATAAGTCAAACAAACAAATATTCTGGACGTGAATATTCCTAAAAATGTTTCTTTTTAACATACTGTTTAAAGTAGTTAGAAGGCTTAATAACAATTTAAGTGGGATTTGAGCCCAAACTCTGGAATCTGGGTTAACAATTAGCCTCCATTAACCAATACTTTTCAGGGCTACATGAGAAAGAAATGTACATGACAAGATTTTAAAAGTACAAAATTTTTAAATTTTGAGGTAAACATTTGTTTAAAATGATTAATATTAAATAATTAAAGTTTATTACTATATTTACATCATGCATTAAATCACCTCGTCTGACCATGCAGTACTTGGACATAAAAAAAATCTTAATAGTTTTGTACAGCTTTTAACTTCTTAGCTATTAATATATCTTTTAAAATAATTAACTTGGAATTCCATATTGATGAAAAGAATTCTTTTTTAAAACATACTGTATTTTACTAT